AATTATAATTAGGAGACTGATCCAACTAAATAAACTATGTCATCTTTAATACAAAAGAATTCATATAAAAATTTAGTGTATGACAAAATTCTCTCTTGCAGTGTAATGCATAAAGATACACTTGATATGGAAAACAGTCAACATACAACTTGTAAATGTTTCTGTACAATGCTTATACTGTACTCAATGACATGAGTCTTATAGAATAATATACAGTGGACCCCCGGTATACGATATTAATCCATTCCTGAGAACTCATCGTATGCCAAAATTATCGGAAGGCGAATTAGTTTTCCCCATAAGAAATAATGGAAATCAAATTAATCCGTGCAAGACACCCAAAAGTACTATGAAAAAAAAAAAGTTTTACAACATGAAATATTAAGTTTAATGCACACAAACTGAAGAAGACATGCACAGTTAATAGTACTCTACTAACAGTAGAATGCATGACACTTACCTATAATGAAGATCTGGTGATGATTGATGGGATGGGAGGAGGGGAGAGTGTCGAAGTTGTTAATGTTTAGAAGGGGAATTCCCTTCCATTAGGACTTGAGGTAGCAAGTCCTTTTCTGGAGTTACTTCCCTTCTTCTTTTAATGCCACTAGGACCAGCTTGAGAGTCACTGGACCTCTGTCGCACAACAAATCTGTCCATAGAGCTCTGTACCTCCTGTTCCTTTACGATTTGTCTAAAATGGGCTACAACATTGTCATTGTAATAGTCACCAGCACAGCTTGCAATAGCTGTGTTAGGGTGATTTTCATCCATAAAGGTTTGCAGTTCAACCCACTTTGCACACATTTCCTTAATTTTTGAAGTAGGCACAATGGATTCCACAGCTGGCATAGGCTTCTCAGGGTTAGCCCCAAACCCTTCAAAATCTTTCTTAATTTCCATACTAATTCTCACCCTTTTTACCACAGGGTTGGGACTAGAAGCTTTCTTAGGGCTCATGGTGACTTATTTTGCAGAAACAAGCACCAAAAATCCTGTGATAATATGGAATGTACCGAATGTATGCTTAGATGCGAGCACACTGGCTGGCTTGTAAACGCTGACATGCACAGGGCAGTTCAGGCCTCACGTGGATGTGTCCCGGACGAATTGCGTGTGGCGGTTTTTTTAACGAGTGGCGAGGCAAAATTTTTGCGTTAAAATGTATCATATACCGGATTTAACGTATACCGATGCCATCGTATGCCGGGGGTCCACTGTATTTACATGAAAGTTCCAGAATGTATCAGGTGAAACTGTCGTCTCAATAAGGACAGATTCGTATTAGATACCAGACGAGACTATATATATAAATTGACTTAAAACACAATACAACAATAACAAGCTATCACTGTGAGTCAGAGGTGAGTAGATGACATACCAACCATACCAGGGACCATTAACAGATCCTCTATAAGGATAGAATAACTTCCCTAAAGCATAAACAGATTCCAGCTTAATACGATTACTGATTACAGCAGTGTCTAGATACTGCACCGCAATGGGATCCAAACTTTGCCTGAGACTAAGTAATATTCTAGAATGGGGAATTGTGTTAAAGGCTGAGGGCCTGAACCTACTCAGAAGAGAGTGTATGAACCTACTGCTTGTCACTGATCAGTAACTCTCATGTCAGGTTGGTCACGTGACAGAAGCTTTGACTCCAGCCGGCAGCATAACTAGCGGCCGGTCTTTTAACTAGTGATTCCATCATCTTTCCCTATTTCTATACATACATAAATATTAACATTAACATATACATAATAAAATAAAAGAGCAATATCCTAGTATGATACATGAGGTCAGATAATCATATAAAGTCGGAAATCTTTACTGTAGCTACAAGTGAAGAAGTCCACTATATTATAATAAGTGAAACCTTGTAACTGGGATCTACTCAAATAAAAAATGTTGGGCATAACCCGTAACAGAGATAGACAGAGATAGAGAGAGACAGAGATATAGACATACAGACAGAGACAGCCGAAGTCAGTCACTCAGCTAGCCAGCCTGCCGAATACGTATTATACATGTTCCAGAATCGTTTCTCTTTACTTAGGGCATAGGTTATATGACATTCTGGCAGGATGACACTACCACTGGTATCAGAAATGAAAGGATGTTGCACAAATATTACACATGGGTTATTATCGAGATTTTTGATATTTCCACAACCACTTGTGGCCACATCCATCACTTTCCTCTTGAAAGGGGAGTGTTAATATGACATGACATCATTGAATCCCTGGTGTTTGCCATAGCTGGTGCTCAATTGAACTGGCATTCCCGCAAGGTCCTAAGTGGTCCCAGATTTTTTTAATACTGCGCACACCGAGTGTTCAGACCCATTCTATGCTGACCAGGCATCTCAGGCCAATCGTGCCTAATTTGGAGGCAGGAAAAATAAAATGATGATCTACGTTTGGAGCGATAGCTGTACTAACGTAGATCTGCGTTTGGACAGTTTAAGGATTAAAGTGCTAAGCATTCCCAACAAATATTTGATGCTTTCCTAACAATACATTATCATTACATTTGGTTATTTGTGGATGTTACATCTGGTCATGATGTATTTTTGAAGCTCAGCCAAATACACAGAATTTTGGGCAGAAAGCTACAATAGTTTTATTATAATAATACTGTAATAATAACAGTATTTGTATTAATAATACAATAGAAAAATATTTTAGTTGTAGCGTTTTGAGAAAAATTACCCTTCTCTGATCATCAGGAAATCAATTGTGTGATCACTTACCTTCACAAACACACACAGTTATACATTTAATGCCAGCCTTTTTTGCACTTACAATACTACACAACCCTTCTTGCATTTGTATGACACAGACTCATAGCAGGTGTGGACTGCCTTTAGTAATCTCACCCAATATGGATTGTACTGCCCCTCATCATTCTTGGTCCAGCTCCAGCTGGGTGAGGAAAATGGTCATAGGAGATGGTAAATATTGCAGGGTTGAATCAGCTATCTTACCTATGGTGCTGGGATCCTATATGACCATCCTCCCATCTTGGCAGCTTCTTTCTCCAAAAATATGGGGTTTGTACAAGGGCCGCCTCACGTCAGTGTCAGGGGTCACAGAGTTTAGTTGGAGGAGCTCAGTATCATTTTCAATCCCTAACTTATGAGGGGAGCACAGTGTCATCCCAAATGGCACAGGTCTCAGTGACAGATGTGGGGTAAACGTTGAGGATCTGTTGAGTCAGTAACATAAAACCCGGTGTCAGTTTGACTCTTGTTTCCTTTTCAAGCCCAAAAAGCGGGCAGATAAAACCAAAATCTGAACACGGTGTTTTTTTCCCTCTTTTTCCCTTCCTTCCTCATGGGGAGGGCTAGACCCCACAAAAACAGCTTCTGATACTTCTGTTGATTTTAAAAGGTCTAGCTAGCTCCGTCCCATTTCTTTCACCCCTTCCCTAGAACTTCCATTAGTAATTTTTCCTTCGGGCTTTAATAATATGAGCACTTTTTTATTTTTTAATAAATGACATTATAGGTATAGGTTGGTAACAGCAACCGCCCGGGGAGGTACTACGTCCCCAAGTGAGTTGAAACGAAAGTTTTGCAATTGTTTTTACAGAGGGATGATTGCGGTGCTTTTTGTCTTCCATAAATATCAAGAATACACTACGTCTTCTACTTCTATTTAAAATTTAAAGTCCACTAACATATGTGTCCAAGCATATATATTTTTAAAATACCACCCCCGGGGTTTTTTCTGCTATTTTTTTTTCTAGCTCTTGTTCTTGTTTTTTTCCCCCTCTTATCTCCATGGGAAGTAGAACAGAATTCTCCCAAAAAAAGCCATGCTTGTTGTAATTGGCGACAAAAAATGTGGGTAAGGGGCTAGTAACCCCTTCTCCGCTTTAAATTACAAATTAAAAAGGAAAACTTTGTTTTTTCCCTTTTTGGGGCCACCCCCCCTCTGTGGGAAAGGCCCGGTTTTTGAAAGAAAAAAGGGTATAGGTTGGAAACAGCAACCCCAGGGAGATACACTGTCCTGCCAAGGATGTAAAACGGAAAACCTGTAATTGTTTTACATGATGGTAGGATTGCTGGTGCCCTTTTTTTTCGTCCATAAACGTGCAAGATTTCAGGTAGTCTTTCTACTTCTACTTCATTTGGTCACACACACATACATTACAAGAATATAAAACACCCCCTTGGTTTCTGCTATTTCTTTCTGTTCTTTTCTTTTTTATTTCCTCTTTTCTCCATGGGGAAGTGGAAAAAAAATTTTTCCCCGTTGTAAGGGAGACTAAAAGCTGGGGGGAAGGGCAGTAAACCCCCTTTCTTGATAAATTATAGGTTTAAAAAGCGAAACTTTCGTTTTTTTTTTTTGGGCCACTGCCTTGGGGGGGTGGGGCCCGTTTTTTAAAAAAAAAAAAAATTAAATGACATTTCTAACATGTTTTATTTGCAACAAAAAATAACTTTTGATTTCACTTTTTTTTCAGGTTACTGTTGAAATAAATAGGGAAAGTTAAAAAATTTGGGGAAGTGTCTTCAGGTTAGTGATAATAAGCCCCAAGGGTTTAAGAAAATTTCATAAATGTGTTATGGAACAAGCGATATACTTGTTCTTGTTATTTTAAACCCTATTGAAAAGGGAACAGGCCAATATTTGGTGCACTGGGTTATGTAGCTGCACAAATCCTTCACAGCTTATCCTGCCAAGTTCCGTTGATCAGAATTCCCGTGCCATCTTCTGCAAGTTGTAGTGAAAAACAGGTAAGCCCCTCAATTTAATAAAAGGGTAACCTTTACAAGTTAAACTTTTCATTAGGGCCTGTAGGATAATTTTTGGGTTTTTGTCACTTTTGCAGTTTTTAATTCAAATTATTAAACCCCTTTGGGGGCCCCCGGCTGTTGTTTTCCCGCTTTGAAGCCAGGGTTTGTTCCGTGTTCTAATGAGCTCAGTCACTCAGATAACTTAGATACGGAAAATGGGGTCTTTTGGGGTAAGTGTGACCATAAAAAAAAATATCCTGCAGCATACAGTGCATAATGGAAAAAAAAACTGCGCCGTGTATTCGTAGGACCTGCTTTTCCGTTTCATTTTAGGGCCTTTCCGCAAATGGGTTCTCAAAATTTGCCCAAAACTTTCTTACAGAAAGTGGATTTCAAAAAAGGGGGCCACCCGGTTTGTTTCGTTCTCCATGTGAAAATTTGTCTATTATAAAATAATCACTCTTGGCCATTTCATGTTAATTTTACGTAAATATAAAATTTTTCATTAATCCATCTATGGATTTTTTCAAAATTATATAAGAAAAATTACATAGATATAAAAATGCTGTTTATCTTGGAGGTGTGTTTGCCGGGGGTGGAGGGGAAATTTTTAGTAATACTAATAATAATCACTTTGGAACTTAAATGTTTATTTTATTTTAATATAGACTTTTTCATTAAGCATCAAATATTTTTCCAAAATTATATAAGAAAATTTTACAAACATAAAAATTTATTTTTATATACTGTGGAGGTGTGGTACTAGTGGGGGGAAAAACATTACGCCTCCCCTAACAAAGTTTTGTTTGAAATTTCCGGCATAAAATTATCATTTTCCCCCTTTTGTTTATGAGGGCTTTAAAAGGTAGTTGTTAAAACGTTTAAAGTCAGTGAACATGGTATGTCGATGGTAAAAATATGGCGGGGCCATTATACCATGTACTATGTAGTCCAGGCGGACACTCCCTACTTTATTTTATAACTGAAATTATCGTATGTGCCTTTTACCTAATAAACTTCACACTGTGCTGGGGTCAGGTAAAACATTAAAACACTGGAGTGCTTGTTGTCTTGAAGACACCATATTTAAAATGATAATAAAATAAACACTCTGAGGAGCTTAACCCCTTGATTCGCAACCCCCAATCCTGAGGGGGCTCCTGGTGGCAAAATTTAAAAAAAAAAAAAAATTTTTTTTCTTTTGATTTATGAGAAACTTTTCCCGATTGTAATGCACCAAAAAAAAAAGAAATTTGATGGAAAACTGACCAAAAATGCTCTCGCGAAAATTTTCGACCTCGGTGAATTTCAAATCGGCGATTTCGCCCCTTCGAGCCCTTTTTCGGCTAATTTCGTTGTTCCCCGTCCGCCAAACTCTAGCATTTCTTTAGAACTCCATTTTTTCTATCGATTGAGTACAAGAAACTCCCCTTTATGATTTCAAATACCCCAAAAATGTGGTCAGAAAATTTTCAAATTTTGGGCCCAAATTTTACAAAATAAAAATAATGACAAATTTTAAAATAAGGTCTGAAGAACAAAGCAGCATTCCGGCTCTAAAAAAACTTTTCTTTGTTATCGCATGTCTCCAGGCCCCTTGATATTACTCTTGCTTTTTTTTGTTTTTATTCAAACAAAAAATAGAAGCTTACTATTTGCAACTACGCAATCTGTAAAAAATTGTATAAATAACATCAACCCATTTTGACTCAATTAGAATGGTTTTGGCATTTATTTGACAAAACATCATTTGTTTTTCTTTTGAACATTGGCAAAAATCAAACATTTCCCCTACTTTGAGCTCCATTTCCAGGTTTTTTTATAGTAAAATCAGTCAAAATCACCTCTATTTCTATAATATGTTTTCCATTCTATCAAATGAGACCAAGAAAACGAGAATACAACCATAAATACTATACGAAAATAGACCACAAAGTCGGCATTTTAATTAAAAAAACGGTTGGAGTTTTTTTTTTCTCATTATGCACTGTGTGCTCCAGGATTTTTTTTATATGGTGCACACTGACCACACAGACCCATTCTCTCACATGTGGGCCTACCAGCTTTCTCCTGCTTGATTTGAAGCCGCTAGAATTTATGAGTATGTATACGTCAAACACGGTATCTCGTAAGACGTATATATACGGCCACGACAGTCAAAGGGTTAAATAGCGTATAAAACGTTAATATAGACATTTGCTTAATCCATCTAAATACACCCCACAGTAGAATAAATTAACATAAATATGAGATGTGGTAGCCAGGCTACTTGTAGGACTTGTGGTAGCCAGGCAACTTGTAGGACTTGTGGTAGCCAGGCAACTTGTAGGACTTGTGGTAGCCAGGTAACTTGTAGGACTTGTGGTAGCCAGGCAACTTGTAGGACTTGTGGTAGTCAGGCAACTTGTAGGACTTGTGGTAGCCAGGCAGCTTGTAGGACTTATGGTAGCCAGGCAACTTGTAGGACTTGTGATGAAAACCAGATGTGTTCATCTGGTTTGTTCATGTTATGTGTAGGTGGGGTGGTGAGGGCTGCCCTTCCTGGCTACCCATACTTCCCAACCTGACTTCATACAAATAAAACTCACCTCTCACCCTACATTAACCCTTTGAGGGTTTCGGCCGTACTAGTACGGCTTACGACCCAGGGTTTTTGACGTACTAGTACGCCTAAATTCTAGCGCCCTCAAATCTAGTGGGAGAAAGGTGGTAGGTCTACATATGAAAGAATGAGTCAATATGGTCAGTGTGCACAGTATAAAAAAAATCCTGCAGCACTCAGTGCATAATGAGAAAAAGAAACTTTGACCGTTTTTTTGGAATAAAACAGCGACTTTGCACTGTATTTTCGTATGGTATTTATTGTTGTATTCTAGTTTTCTTGGTCTCATTTTATAGAATGGAAGACATATTACAGAAATTGAGATGATTTTGATTGGTTTTACAATGAAAAGTACCTTAAAATTGAGCTCAAAGTAGCAGAAATGTTTGATTTTTACCAAAGTTCAAAAGTAAACAAATCATGCCAAGCATCCAATGCACGTCAACTGGTGAGTCTAATATTCTTTTGCAAGTGTGCCAATATTATTTATACCAATTTTTACACTAATGAAGTAGTCTGCATAACAGTAAATCTTCTATTTTTTGTGAGAATAAAAATTCAAAGTGGAAAGCAAAAGAATGTAAGAGGGGCCTTGAGACGTGACTAATGAACAGAGGAAATGTCATTTTAGTGCCAGGAATGTCTTTCTTGTTTATTCTGGACCCTATTCGGAAATTGGCATCTTTTGAAATTTTTGTGAAATTGGCAAAATTACTATATTCTGACCACTGTACTCGATAGTTGAAATTGGTAAATGGGTGGTTTCTTGCACTCATTCGATAGAGAAAATGGAGTTCTAGCAAAAAATTCATGTTTTTTGTCGACTAGTACAGTGGAATTAGCCGAAAATGGGGCTCAAAATGGGCAAAATCGCCGCTGCGTAAACATCGCCTAGACCGCTAACTTCGCGAGAGCATAATTCCGTAAGTTTTCCATCAAATTTCATACCTTTGGTGTCATTATGATCGGGATAAGATTCTCTATCTTTTCATCGGATTTTTTTTTTTTTTAAATTTGGCCGACCCTGAGAACGAGTCTCGGAGAGGGCCTGTATACCCTCAAAGGGTTAAGGCTACAAATATTTTAAGGTAATTAATGAGTGTACTATATACGAATTTTATCGCTCTAGGGAGCTTAATGTCCTAGTACGTGTATGTGGCCATTCAGGATGTCATACCTCCCACATGACTTTCTACTAATAAATACTTTTCACCTCTCACCCTACATTAAGACCATTAAGAGTACAAATATTTTAAGGTAAGTAATGCGTGTACTGTATATGCATTTTATCGCTCTAGGGAGCTTTAAGCATCATAGTATAGTATGCGTGGGTGGGGTGGCCAGGAGGGCTACCACACCTGACTTCTTAGAGTAAATACTACTCACCTTTTGTCCTACATTAAGACTACAAATATTTTGAGGTAAATTATGAGTGTACTGTGTGTGTATTTTACTTTTTAATGCCTAGTTCTATTGTTAACTTAATATATGTTAGTGTAAACTTGTTATCTGATGTTTATATGCATTTATAAATGGAAAAAATGGAGTTCTGCTTTCCAGCGAAGTCTGGTTTCCGGCAGTAGCCTGGAACCTAACCTGCCGAATAAGTGGGGCTCTACTGTATTTGGTTTAAAACGGTGACATTTTTGGTGTATTTTATTATGGTTTTTATGGTTGTATTTGCAGTTTCTTGGTCTTATTTGATAGAATGGAAGATATATTACAGAAATAGCGATTATTTTGATTGATTTTAGGATAGAAAATAGCTTGAAATTGAGCTTAAAGTAGTGGAAATGTTCGATTTTTGCTGATGGTCAAGAGTAAATAAATCATATCAAGCATCCAATACACATCAACTAGTGGACCTAATCTGTGTTCGTAAGAACATAAGAACATAAGAAAGGAGGAACACTGCAGGAGGCCTGTTGGCCCATACTAGGCAAGTCCTTTACAATTCATCCTACTAACAAAACATTTGCCCAACCCAATTTTCAATGCCACCCAAGAAATAAGCTCTGATGTGAAAGTCCCACTCAAATCCAACCCCTCCCACTCAGGTACTTATCCAACCTAAATTTGAAACTACCCAAAGTCCCAGCCTCAATAACCCAACTAGGTAGACTGTTCCACTCATCAACTACCCTATTTCCAAACCAATACTTTCCTATGTCCTTTCTAAATCTAAACTTATCTAATTTAAATCCATTACTGCGGGTTCTCACTTGGAGAGACATCCTCAAGACCTTATTAATATCCCCTTTATTAATACCTATCTTCCACTTATACACTTCGATCAGGTCTCCCTCATTCTTCGTCTAACAAGTGAATGTAACTTAAGAGTCTTCAATCTTTCTTCATAAGGAAGATTTCTAATGCTATGTATTAATTTAGTCATCCT